CACTCTTCGATCTATTCATTCCACAATATCCCATTTCCGCTCATCTCCTTCCACTTCACAGTAAAAACAACTCCCTCCCTATTCGAAATCTATTCTTCCACTCATACCCAATTTCAATACTATTTTCACAATTGCACAATTCTTCTTTATTTTAGAAATCATTTGTTTTACAATATAAGCTATTAGCTTAGTCTTACTGGGTTTGAATGTATTCAAAATTTGGAATTGGACTTGTATGTCCTGTCTTTTGTTTTGTTTTGGGACTTCTATGTGTTTTTGTGTGTTGTGTTGTGGGAGTGTAATTATTGTAGCTGGGATGGGTTCTGTCGTCAAGTTGGTGTGTTTGAAGAAGCTAGTGTAGTGTGTGCTATCGTTACTTTGACTAAACTGTGTGTGTGAGATATGCATCGTGAACGCATTCAATACCATAATGGCGGTGGACCCTGGTTCCATTTTTGCTGTGTGGAATATGTTCCGAGTGAGAATTTCTGTACTTCAAACTGTGCAACGTGGCGAACCCATTCATGCCATGTGGGACCGCGGATACATGGAGATAACTTGCAACGTGGGAGGTATCTGGTACAGGCACGACGTTCTTGCCTAGGATATCTGTTCTGTTTCTCGTATTTTCATTTTCATATAGTGAGGTGGTAGAGTGTGGTAGAGAGAACGGATTTGCGATGAGTGAAAGGGCAAACTATGGGAGCAAGAGCTGTAGGTTTGTAGAAGCGGAGCGTGTGTGGAACTTGGGAGAATGGGACAAGAAGGCGGAGTATGCGAACTGCTGTGGGGACGGTCCTCGCCTCTGATTGATGCGAGCCGAGTGAACTGGAATGGGCAGTGGGAGCAGGCGAGTTCGAAGACGGTGCAGTTCTGCATTTGTGGGTCTGTGGAGCATGGGAAGGTGGAGGTGTGCGTGGTGCGGGCGTGTGGGAAGTGGTGGAATGGAAGAGAGGTGAGGTGCGTGGCGGTGGTGTGCCCCGCGGACGAAGCGGCGGGGTAGCCGGAAGGGCACTTGGGGCAAGTGTTGGATACGAAGTGCGATGTGGACTAGTGGGGCATGATCACGGATGGGTGCAACGCCTATCAGCAGTGGGAATCGATCGATCGATCGATAGGGGACGGGCTCCTGCCAGCCCATCCTGCCGATGCTGCGCTGCACTGCGCTGCGTGGCGGGCGATGGGGCGAGGGACGTGGCGCTGTGGACGATGGGAGATGGGAAGCAATCCACGATGTACTGCACGAGCAATGTGGGCGTGGGCGAGGTGATGAACGACCCATTCGAGCCCATGAACATCCACATCGTGTTTGAATTGGCCGAGGCCACGTTCTCCTATCCCACCACCGCGATCTCCATCTCCGACTACACCATTGCCTTCGCCTTCACCATTGCCTTCGCCTTCGATGGCTCCTTCCCGCGGTTCTGCGAAGGCACGCACGCTCTACATCAATGCCAACAGGTTGGTGTCCCGAAACGGCCTCCCCTTCCCCGCGGAAACCCTCATCGCGACCTTCTCGACCCGCGCCGGCGTTCGGTTGGCGTTCGGTTGGCGTTCGGTTGGCGTTCGGTTGGTGTTCGGTTGTGGCCTGCTCGGATTGTGGAGAGCGCGATTGGTATGAGGGAAGTGGAGTGGGCGCAGCGCAGCGCAGCGTGTCTGTGCAGATGGAGGTTCCCTGGAGCAGTGGCATCTCCGATGAAGCCCCGATGGATGGCCTTGATGGGCAGCAATGTGCAGAGCCAGTTCTTCGAGACGCGCTCCGTGTTGGTGGCGGGCGCCATTGTGAACAGCGTGATGGCCATCAGCTGGCGTGTCCGCAAGGGCGCCTCCTGGTCCGCCTTCGCGTCCTTCTCCGTCTACCGCCCCGTCGTGCTGCTGCCTCCCTCCCTGCCTCCGCGCCCGTCGTGCTGCTGCCGCCTTCGAAGCCACGCAGGTGCGCTGGGTCTGGTGGTGGTGCGAGCTCTTCGTGCAGGCCTTGGTTGGCTCCCACTCCCAGCTCTTCGCCGCCGACGCGCTCCTCCAAGAGGGCGACGTCCAGCAACCCGAGCTCTCTCTCTCTTTAGCTCTCTCTCTCGATGCGTGCGTGGCCTACTGGGTGCGCGTGGCGCTGTGCTCCGCCGCGTGCTCCATCCTCTCCGAGGCCTCCTCTCCCATCACCCTCGCCGCGTATGTCGTCGCGCCCGGCGCGGTGCAGAACCTCGAGGTGGCCGCGCTCTCCTCGACCTCGCTGCGCGTGCAGTGGGCAGAGCCGGCGGAGCTGGGCGGCGCCAGCATTCGGTACTACGTGGTGCGACGCTCGTGGATGGCGTCGATGGCCGTGATCCAGAGCGAGAGCGAGAGCGAGAGCGAGGTCGCCAGCACGAACTGCTTCCTGGACCTGCAGAGCGTGCAGAGCGTGCAGAGCGTGCAGAGCGTGCAGAGCGTGTAGAGCGTGCAGAGCGTGCAGAGCGTGCAGAGCGTGCAGAGCGTGCAGAGCGTGCAGAGCGTGCAGAGCGTGCAGAGCGTGCAGAGCGTGCAGAGCGTGCAGAGCGTGCAGAGCGTGCAGAGCGTGCAGAGCGTGCAGAGCGTGCAGAGCGTGCAGAGCGTGCAGAGCGTGCAGAGCGTGCAGAGCGTGCAGAGCGTGCAGAGCGTGCAGAGCGTGCAGAGCGTGCAGAGCGTGCAGAGCGTGCAGAGCGTGCAGAGCGTGCAGAGCGTGCAGAGCGTGCAGAGCGTGCAGAGCGTGCAGAGCGTGCAGAGCGTGCAGAGCGTGCAGAGCGTGCAGAGCGTGCAGAGCGTGCAGAGCGTGCAGAGCGTGCAGAGCGTGCAGAGCGTGCAGAGCGTGCAGAGCGTGTAGCACGCGCCCATCTATCTGAGCGTGGCCGCGTTCAACGGGTATCTCTCCCGCCACGAGAAGATCCCCGCGGTTCTGTATGCGGTGTGTGTGGAATCAGGCGGAGGGCATTGAGTGGGACTGTGCGATGGCGATTACCGGATCCTTCCATGATCTCTGCACCGCCACGTGCGAGCTTCGCGCTCCCGCGACTTCCTCCTTCCTCCTTCCGCCGAACCGTCTGTTTCCCCGCGGGACGCGATGTGTGGGACGTGTTGGAGGGTGGGATCCCCGCGACTTCCTACACGCTGGAGTGCGTCCCGAGCGAAGTGGGCAGTGCCGAGTGGCTGGGCAGGCAATTCGGAGTGTCCACGATGGCCACGTCGGAATTCGTTGGGTGTTGGTGGTGGACGGCGAGCCAACCTCCTCGCTCACCGGTTCGCTCTGGGTGTGGGTGTGGGTGTGGGTGTGAGTGAGCAGGAATCTGGTGGGCGATGGAGTGGGGTCCGTGGCTCCCTACGAAGGTGTGCAGAGTCGACCGGGCTCTCTGGATCTCTTCCTGTCCAACTGGGCGCAGAACGCCACCGTGGTCTCCGTCACACAGCCCCTCCGCCTCCGCCTCCGCCTCCGCCTCCGCTTCCTCTTCGCCTACGACGTGACCGGCGCGCTCATCCGCGCCCACCTCGTCGATCACGCCTGGTGCGCCGTGAGTCGCGATGTTTCCACGTTTCCACGATCCAGACCGATTTGGCAGTTGCTGAGAGAAAGAAAGAGAGAAATGGTTGCGGTGTTTGGTTTGGAAGATGGATGGATGGATGGATGGATGGAATTGTAGAGATGTGGAATGGTTGAAGCGTTGTAGGATTTGAATGAGAATCGAAAATGTGTTTAGGAAGGAAGGAAAGAAGGAAAATGTAGATTTAGAGTGTGTAGGGTGTTGGAATGATTTAGAAACATGAACAGAATAATCCAGAACGAGGAACCAAACGACTCTAGTTGATAATAATAATAATAGAGTGCTGTGAGTTGATAGTTGAAACAAAGAAAGATAGATAGAAAGAAAGAAAGTGTATTTAGAGTTAGTTGGTTGGTTTAGGATAAGGAAATGATAGAAAATGGAGTGAATGGTTAACGATGTGCGAAGATAGGTTCTTTGTGTGAAAATCACTGGATCAAAACCAATTTCCATTCCATTCGATTTGATTTACTAGTTTTACTAGTTTTAATTGCTTTCAAACCCAACCAGTCCCAAGTCAAAATGATTTGGCTAGAATCATGGATGGATAGATTGGATTATCGAAATAATAATAATGATAATAATAATGATAATATAGACTATTTAGACAAAGTGGAGTGAACAACCAAATCCTTGCTTCATAACACGATTTCACTATGATATCATAAATATACAACCTATACAGACATAGTAGACAACAAAATGGACTTTTCCATTCTGAGTGTTTCCAAACAATCCTGATATTATAAATATCTATACCTCCGAACTATTTCAACCACAAAAATGTGAACAAAATGATGCGAAACACAAGTGAGTACTTCACTTGGAAATCTTGGATCCAATGTGTATATGGTAGCACTCTATCATAATTTTTAAATATGAAGAATACTTAGGTGTATGGAAACAAACTGATCTCTCTGTTTTCTTCATAAATTCTTTATATTTGGCTACAAATTACGGATTCAAAGAGTAGAGGCTAAGGATATGTGATTCCAAATAGGTAGAATGCAAGAACTTAAGGGAAGCGAATTTCTCCTGGATGGTTACATAACGCGTGGTGAAGCAAAGGAAATCACTATTGGCGGCTGCAACTATAGCCTCCAATGTTATCAAGGCGATCACGAGGAAGAATACACGTTGACGAGAGCTGGGAAGGTTTGCCTATTCCAAAATGGCATACTAAAAATGTGTTACGAGGTGGATGCGAACGGGAGTGAAATCGGTGACTTCACGCGATTTGAAAATGGATGCGTCGCTTTTGTCCAATCATTTGACGAAATCTGGGACAGAAAGAATTTTCATCGTATAATAAACCATGTCCGAGGCGAGCGTATGGAAATCTATTCGCATGCGAGTGATCACCTGATATATCATGGTGAGTTCAATGAGAAGCGAGAACGAGAAGGATGGGGCATCCAATATGACGAAAAAACGGGTGCCATGCTGCTTGAGGGGATGTGGAAGGGAAACAAGCTCGTGGAGATCATCCGTAAAATCGAAGGAACCATCATGATTGAGTTCAAGCGAAACGGTAACAACACCATCGCTTCGAATCGAATTCCCCTCTATGTGGGTGAATTCGTTTATGATGAATCGAAAGAATCGTTTCTTCGAAATGGTCGAGGATACTGGATCGATGAAGAAACTCGGATTGCTACTCGCGAAGTGGAATGGAAAGATGGAGTGGAAGTGAGTGGAAGAGATCTCTATGATGGATGGTACACTCGATCCACAACTCCAAAACCCAAACCCAAACCCAAACCCAAACCCGCTCCGATGCCTGTGCCTGCTCCTGCTCCTGCTCCTGCTCCTGCTCCTGCTCCTGCTCCTGCTCCTGCTCCTGCTCCTGCTCCTGCTCCAAAAAGCGAAGAACCTGCTTCTCTTCGATTCAGCGTCACTGGATCTACAAAATGGACCGATGTGAGTTTGCAAGTGACCGATTTGAAGATTTCATCGAATTGCTGTAACGATTTGAATGCATTGGATCTGAATCGATTCGAGTGGATACGATCTATCGAAATCGGCGATGAATGTTTTGGATCAGTGAAAACATTCCAAATCGATGGATTGAATCGATTGAAAACTATCAAAATCGGAAACAATTCATTTACACATATGAAAAAAGCCGAGTGGAATGGTATTAGGTATGATGTAGCTGTCAAACAATGTAGCAATTCGAAATCATTCCACATATTGAATTGTGAATCATTGGAATCCATTCAAATTGGTGAATGGAGTTTCAGTGATTTTGGAGGCGACTTTGAATTGAAGAATCTACCACAATTACGATCCATTCAAATTGGTATAATCGAAGGTAGATCAACCATTTTCTTCAATCGTTCATGGAATTTCTTCAATAAATCATTTGTGATTCGAGGTATTGATATGATATTGAATATGAATAATGAATAGATCTTCCAAATCTACAATCCATTACATTAGGTGATTTTGCATTCTGTGCTTCCTTCTCAACAATAATTGAAAGTATTGAATGAATTCGAATGAAATGATTGATATAGATCTTCCATCATTACAATCCATTACACTCGGTTGGTCTGCACTTGAAGGAAGAAGGGATGATTATTCAACTTCATTGATAATGCGAAGTAATAATGAATTGATTGGTTATGATTTGTTTTGTAGATCTTCCAAATCTAACATCAATAACGTCTGATTGTTATAGTTTCAATTGTTTTTGTGTAGTGACATTAGAAAGTATTTCTGAATATTGAATATTGATAGTATTTAGATATTCCAAATCTTCAAAATGTCAAGCTGCCTATTTCATTCCATAAAGTTCGATCGAAATCAATTTCGAGTAGTTTGATTGATTTGATTTGATTCATAGATGTTTCTTCCATTCTCGCTGATCTTGTCCACTAAATCAAGCATTAAATCTATAATTTTGATTTGATTTGATTTGTTCAGTGATTCGTCATTGTTTAGGAACATTTCCATTGTTTGATTGTTTGTTTGTTTGTTTGTCTGAAACCGATTCTTGATCACAATTCATGATTCTATAATTATCAAAATATCAATCCTGCCTGATTATTATGATGTTCTTCTCTACCATTTTAACAATGATACTGAATTATGATTGTTGTTTCAATCAATCAATCAATCATTGTTTTCGATCATTACCATTATTATTATTACCAATGAGCCAATGATCACATATTGAACATTCACAAATGATGAATCCAATCTACCAATAATAATAATAATAATAATAATAATATACAAATGATGGTTTGAATAGGTTTGAACTAGGATTTGTTTAATATTGATAAGAAACTGCTTGCTTCGAATAATCATCATCATAATCATCATAATCATCATGAATAATAAGATTGGATTTGCTAGTGACACAATGGAATGGTTGGAATCGATTGATATTGGATGATTATTCACATTTGTGAATCCATTGTTAAATTGGTAGATAATACAATACAATACAATACAATACAATGATTGATTTTGAATTAGGATATTGAATTTGACTTATTGAATAGGAATAGATCACTGTATACATAGAATAGAATCAAATAGAATAGAATAGAATAGAATAGAATAGAATAGAATAGAATAGAATAGAATAGAATAGAATAGAATAGAATAGAATAGAATAGAATAGAATAGAATAGAATAGAATAGAATAGAATAGAATAGAATAGAATAGAATAGAATAGAATAGAATAGAATAGAATAGAATAGAATAGAATAGAATAGAATAGAATAGAATAGAATAGAATAGAATAGAATAGAATAGAATAGAATAGAATAGAATAGAATAGAATAGAATCCGATTGAATAGCATTGGAAATCATATTGGATTCACCATTCAATCAATCCAACTATCATTTGTTTGTTTGTTTGTTTGTTTATCAATGAGTCACAAAACATGGATTTATCAATTTGATAATAATGGAATCAAATCGGATGTGTTTGATACTTGATAGTTGTAGTTAGTAGTAATATCAATCGTGGTTTCACAATTCGATATTTGGATGGAATGTCGTATTCTTCAATATCACACAAACCACTTATTTACTCATTCAATCAATCAATGGATAAAAGATAGCTGATTCAAAATGCAAATGAATGTTGAATATCGTAAAGAATCAATTCATCATTCACACTCAATAATACTGATAAGAATAGAAAGGCTCTTCAATCCATTGATCGATTGAATGATTAAATGAATGAATGGTGTGTATTTGGTTAGTTTTCGATCTCCATTCATCATTATCATTATAATGATTGTATGATCATCCACATTATTCATCGGTCTATTTCAGCATATTGAATACCATTAGATCACTTTGGTATTGTTGATCATGAATAGAATGATTGGATAGGATCGATCAATCAGAATCAGAATCAGATTGATGAAGAGTATTCAACCATCAATCCTCGTGATTATTATTATTATTATTATTATTAGTAGTATTTGTATTTGTTCGATTATCAATGATATTGAATCGATCGAATGATTCATTGATAGCAATCCAATCGACTGATAGAATTATACAATTGATTCGATTGAATCCAAATGGAACAATCACTCAAACACATTGTAGTCTCAATGGTTGTTTTGCAATTGAATCGATCGAGATTCATGAAATCATTATGTTCGATCATTGTATTAGCTGGAATCTATCATTGTACTGTATTGCATAACAATACTCTTATTTCTTTCTTTCTTTCTGATCATTATCATTATTTCATTATTATTATTGATATTATTCAAATCATTAGATCCCATTCGAACAAGTCAATATGGAATCAGCATTTGATAATCACAATACAATAATGAGGCATATTGTGAGAACCATTTGTGTTGTGGTTTGAATATGAGTATTTCGATAATGGGTTTTCTTGGAATCCATTGTTTGATTGTATATTCAATATGCTGTTTGTGATTGTACACCGATGAATCCACAAATCACATATTTCGAATGAATCTTGATCGAACGACTTCAATCGAATCGTTTTGACAAGATTCATTGCACTTAATCGAATTGAATCAATAGGAATCGACACAATCCATATTTGTTTGTTGAGATAGTATTCATTTGGATAATACTCAATGATTCATTATTGTTTTGTATTGTTCTTGTTCTTGTTTTGATGTTGCTTATCTATTTTTGATTATTCCATTTTTCATTTGATATTGTTGTTGTTTTTCAACTTTTGGAATTCATTGTGATTCATTTTATTATTTCATTTTCGATTTTGATTTTTAGTTTATTGTTTGTTTTGCTATTCTTTAGTTTTCTTTGTTTCTTATTTTCTTATATTTGTGCATTTTCTTAATCTTCCTTTTGTTTTCTTTTGTTTTGTATTATATGATTCTAATTTGTTTTTAGTTTTTCTTTTTTGTATTTTCTTTTTCTTTATTATTCCCTTTTTTATATTCTAACATTCATCTTATTATTCACTATCCACCAGACAAATTGGATTGTGTCGATTCTTATTGATTCAATTCTCATAAGGAAATATGTGATTATTTGTTTGGATTGTTCCATGTTTTGTTTTGCTTATTTCTGTTTGTTTTCTGTTCATCATCATCATTATCATCATTATTATGTATCCATTTTAACCAATCATCGAATCAATCATGTGCCATCAGTTTGAAACAACAATACAAATTCCACAGATCATTGTAAAATGAATCAGATAGAATTGTTCCAATCATAATCAATCGAAATGTGTTTCTATTAAACGAATCAAATCAAATTATCAAACAGAATATAATGAAATACAATGGCACAACGGACATCGTATCACGGAGTTCGTTGGACTGATACCGAAGATGAACTGTCTGATTGATGAAAAGCATGTAGTACACAATGCAGCAAAGGGAGTTCTTCGCAATGTGGTAATCGATGGTGAGAGAATGAGTGTGAAGAACATCGAATTGTACAAGCGTGTCCTTGAGGCAAATAGGAAGGAGATGTAGTCATCGAAGGCAGCTTCAAACGGATCAACAACCAGGCCTTCGATATCAGCACGTAGGAACAGACCAAGACACAAATGACTTGCACTGACAACAAGCGATGGATCTTGGGCGATAACGTGCATACACTAGCATTCAGTCATTACCGATTGAAGGACATATAAAGGAAAAGGTATTTTTACTTTGTTCAGTCATGGAAGTGATGTAGGGGTTCCTATACTTGTAAGGGTTGATCCAGGAGAGCGTGCCGTTACTAGGTGAACCTTGGATGAGTATGGAGTAATACATGGCTTGCCTCTCTTACCATAGACAGCAGGGATGAGCAAAAAAAAGGTAAACATTTCGCACCATATTTCTTATGATGAGTAAAAAACAAGTTGCCCAGGGTCAACAACAGCGAGTGATAATAAATAAGGTATGAGGGGCAACTTCGAGCTGTTGGCTCGCAGTTAACAGGGTCTGAGGAATAACTCTAACCTAATATGGCCAAAAACAGTTAATAACGCGCAATAAACATTGATATTAAACAAATAACTTACTGATTTATTCATTCATTCCTTCATTCAGTTAATTGATTTGTTGATAAAAGAAAAAGAGAAATGAAATGACTAGAATTGAAATGGGGTGTGAGTGAATGATGATAAGAATGTGATGTTTAAATAGGCAATTGAATAATAATAAAATGAGAACGGCCATATCTGATGGAAAGCGCCCTAACCCGTCCGATCTAGGAAGCTAAGTCATCACGAGTCGAGTTAGTACCAGTGTGGGTGACTCGCTGAGAAGTCTCGATGCTGTTCTTTTACTATTTTATTATACTATTCATTCTTCTTATACAAGAACAGACATAATCCACTCAACGCAAGTGAGCCAGTGATTATGCAATAACTGATTGAATGAATTCATGTACATTCAAAATGTCCTACTATTACAGCCTTCGAACTCTTCATTCTCAATCCTCGTCTAAAACTTTTCCGATTGCTACCTATTTCATTCGTTCTCTTCTCTTTATTTGCTCTCTCAAAAAACTGATAATCACATCAACATGATTTCAACAAACATCTACTCTACACTCTTTCCTTCGATTCCATAACCAAGCTTTCTTCCACTCCAACATTCCCTCACTGAATCGCCTTCAATCGTTGCAGTAAGGAGCTCAAATGAGGGAACAGCACGGGACATTGTTCCACCAGATGCATCAAATCATCTACCCACACCGACAAACACGGCGGCAATCGATGTGCCGTCTACCCATGATTTTCCTCCATGCAATTCCCACTTCCACAAACACACCGAAGCAAGGATGCGAATAGATCAATCCATACAGCGAAACCGCGTTCGGCACGAAATGCCTCGCATCGGGTTTCTACCCATCACCCCAAAAACAAACAGAAAACAAAGCGAATAATTTCAACCACCACGGAATTCACGCAGACCAGCGCTTCTTCCATTT